TGAGTTTCTAGTTCCTTAGAAGCACCCACTATCTTTTTCTAGGCCTTTGTATCAGCTATTCTTCTTGCCTGTAAACTCCTCCTGCTCCCTCCTACACAGACTTCCGATCTCGGCTCAGATATATCCTAGGCTCAACTGAAGCCTCCTCGGGGCTGGCACTGTTCACTAGTTGAAGGTTTGTGGCAGCTCTGTGTCGAGTCGAGCAAGTCTGTCAGCGCCATTTTTCCAACAGCCTGTGCTTACTTCGTGTCTCTGTCACATACAGGCGGGAAAGACCTCCTAGCGGTGGGTTTGTCTCTCCCACTGGACTGGGAGCCCGTGAGGGTAGGGCGGAGGCTGTCAAAGTCAGCACTACACTCCCAGGACCGTGCGGCATGGGAGAAGGGTCAGTAGATAGTGAGTTGAAGGAAACATAAATCACTGACAAAGAGGTGCTAAGGGAGGGGCTAGATCCTGGAGAGACAGCTGTGAATCAAACAGACACAGCCCCTCTCCTGGCCACATCCAATGTGCCAGACTCTCCCGTACTCAGGGCCTCTGCACAGGCTGTTCCTTCTTCCCAGAATGCTCTTCTTCCTCCTCTTCCTTCTGGATAAAGCAAAATAAACCAAACTCATGGCCATGGAGTCAACTCCGACTCAAAGCACCCCTAGAGGATAAAACAGACTGTCCTATAGGGTTTCCAAGGCTGTAATCTTTACAGACACTGACTGCCACATCTTCCCCCTGGGGAGAAACAAGTGAGTTCAAACTGCTGACCTTTTGGTTAGCAGGTGAGTGCTTAACCAGTGTGCCACAAGGGCTCCTGGACACCAAAAACCAAACCCACTGACATTGAGTTGATTCCAACTCCAATGGAAGCGGCAGTCAAGACATCAGATGACGTACTGCACTGGGCAAATCTGCTGCAGAAGACCTCTTCAAAGTGCTGAAGAGCCAAGATATCTCCCTGAAGACTAAGGTGCGCCTGACCCAAGCCACAGCATTTTCAGTCACCTCATATGCATGTGAAAGCCGGACAATGAAAAAGGAAGACTGAAGAAGAGTTGATGCTTTTGAGTTCTGGGGTTGGTGAAGAATACTGAAAGTCCCAAGGGCTACCAGAACGAACAAATCTGTCCCGGAACAAGAGCAGCCAGAATGCTCCTTGGAAGTGAGAATGGCCAGACTTCATCTCACCTACTTTGGTCTTGCTGTCAGAAGGGACCACTCCCTGGAGAAGGATATCATGCTTGGCAAAGTGGGAGATGGATTGACACACTGACTCCAACGATAGGCTCAGGGAGAGCAAAGGTGGTAAGGCTGATGCAGGACCAGGCAGTGTTTCGTTCTGTTGTACACAGGGTCGCTATAAGTCAGAGTCAACTCAATGGCACCTAACAACAGAACTGCCCCATAGCATTTCCAAGGAAGTAAATCTTTATGGAAGTAAAACCTAAACCAAACCCACTGAGGTCAAGTCGATTCCAACGCACAGCACCCCTAGAGCACAGAATACAACTGCCCCATAGGGTTTCCAAGGCTGTAAATCTTTACAAAAGTAGACTGCCTCATCTTTTCCCATGGAGGAGCTGGTACATTTGAACCACCACTGACCTGGTTAACAGCCAAATGCTTTAACCACTATACCACCACGGCTCCTGGATAGTTTCTATGAATCCTAAAGGCCTCAGCTCAGACGTCTCCTCCTCCAGGAAGCCTCTACTTCCCACCCTCCTCCAGCTCAGATACCTGCTGTGGGGTCCCACAGGTCTCTGGGCTTCTTCCCTTACAGTTCCGACACTTTGGTCTGTCACTGGTTTTCTGGGGTGTTGTTTTGTTTTTAGTCTTTTATTGAGTTTTTGGTGAAATTTTACACAGCAAGTCAGGTTCTCATTTGACAATTTCCCCAGACAGCTGGGTGACATTAGTTGCCTTATCCCAATGTGTGCACTTGCTGTGTTCAGGCTGCTCCCCTTTCAGCACTCGAGTTTCCCAACCCCTCATCTTTGCTTTTGATAAGTATTGGCCTTTTCATCTCAAAAACCAAACCAAAACAAAACAAAACAAAAACCCACCACCATCGAGTTGATTCTGACTCATAGAGACCCCCGTTGGGTTTCTGAGGCAGTAAATCTTTACATAAGCAGATTGCCCAGTTTTCCTTCCGAGGAGTGGCTGGCGGGTTTGAACCTCCAGCCTTCTGGTTAGCAGTCAAATGTCTTAGGCACTGTGTCACCAGAGCTCCTTCTTTCATCCCATAGTGCCGGTTTTTAAGTAGAGCACCAATCATATAGGTTCTATTCTTTTTTTTTTTTTAATAGTACGCAATGATTTTTTTTTAATTTATTTTTTTATTATGATTTGGGTTAGTATGCAATGTTTTTTCTTTTATTTATTTTTTTATTATGATTTGAGTGAAAGTATACAGAGCAAATTCACTTTCCATACAGCAGTTCACACATACATTGTCTGACGACATTGACAGTTTATCCCAATGCAACAGCTCCCCTCCTACTTCCTCCCGATAGTTACCTCTTCCCTGTGTCCATCCCTCCATGCACTCCTGCCCCCTGTGCTGTCTTCCTGTGCATAAGCAGCCCTTCTTTCTCCCATGATTGTTCTCTCCAAGGAGTGTATCTACCTCAGGTACATGTTCAACTCTTATGCCTGTCTTCTGTTTGGCTGGAGGCCACAGGTGTGGGTTCAATTCCAGTAGGTCCCATTCTTTAGCTTGTGTGTCACTCCATTTCCCTACAAGGTGATCTCAGGGTACAGTTTTGGTTCTAGGTACAAAGAGTATATAGAGTGTTTCAGGGTGACAGTCTCAGGGAGTCCTAAGTTTTCTACTGTTGCAGTTTGTCTGGCTTTTCTTTTAAAATAAGAATTTGAGTGTTGGTCCATATTTTTTCCCCATTCTATTAGGACCAACTATCGTGTCACTATCTGTTGATGTATTTGTCCTCCCCTCTGGACCCTGAGCCCTAAGGTCTCAGGCACTACCAACACTGTCTTGGTGTCTGCCAGGTCCCAGTGGCAAATACATCTGACACACAATTGTATGGAAAAGTACTTTCCCTGCAACACAGGCATACCTTGGAGACATCATGGGCTTGGTTGCAGACCCCAGCAATAGTGAGTATCACAATAAAGACAGTCACGTGAATTGTTTGCTTCCCCAGTGCACAAAAAAGTTACCTTTACACATATAACACAAAAACATTATTCCACATCCTACTTTGGTGAGTAGCAACTGGGGTCTTCAAAGCTTGCAAGCAGCCATCTAGATGCAACAATTGGTCTCTCCTCATCCAGAGCAAAGAAGAAAGAAGAAAACCAAAGATGCATGGAAACAATTAGTCCAAAGGCCTAGTGGACCATACGAACCACAGCCTACTTGACCCTGAGACCAGAAGAACTAGATGGTACCTGACTACCACTGTCAACCACTCAGAAAGGGATCAAAATAGGAGATCCTGGATAGAGTAGGAGAAAAATGTGGAACAAAACTCAAAATCATAAGAAAAGATCAGGCTTATCAGTCTGCTAGAGACTGGTGAAAGCCCCAAGACTATGGCCCCAAGTCACCCTTCAGGCCTAGAACTGAACTCATTTCTGTGGCTTCCAGGCTAACAATAGACAGGCATGTAATGTGAACATTTATACCAGGTAGTTATACTCCTTAGAAAAGTCCATCATGGGAGACCAGAAGGCCAGTATTTGCACAGGGAGATAGCTCAGAGGGCAGGAATGCATAGGAAAGGGGGACACAGGGAAGAGGTAACCAGAGGGAAGAAGTGGGAAGAGAACTGTTATATTATGGGGATTGCGGTCAATGTCAGTAAACAAAATGAGTATAAACTGTTATATGGAAAATGAATTTGCTCTGTAAATTTTCCCCTAAATCACAACAAAAAATAAATTAAGAAGGAAAAAAAATGTTTACACATCATGAAAAAGTTCGAAATATTGTGAGAATTACCAAAATGTTAGAGAGACATGAAATAAGCATACGCTATTGGAAGAATGGTGCCGACGGACCTGCTCAATGCGACGCAGGGTTGCCACAAACCTTCAATTAGTGAAAAATGCAGTATCTGCAAAGCACAATAAAATGAAACAAGGTTTACCTGTACTTTAAAGACAGTGCTGATTCTAATCCCATTTATTGAGCACTTACTACGGGCCCCACCATTCATCATACTGTTTGTCATACTGTGGTGGCTTGTGTGCCGATGTGAGGCTGGAAGCTATGCCCCTGGTATTTTAAACACCAAGAAGTCCACTCATGGTGGACAGGTTTCAGTGGAGTTTCCAGACTAAGACGGACAGGCTAGAAGGACCTGCTGACCTACTTCTGCAAAAACTGACCACTGAAAACCTATCGGATAGCAACAGGACAGTGTCTGCTACTGCTGGCAGATGAGCCCTTCAGGTTGGAAGAACACACAGTGACTGCAACAATGGGCTCAAACCCAGGAACGATTCTGAGGATGACGCAGGACAAAGCAATGTTTCATTCTGTTGTACGAACGGTTGCTATGAGTTGGACCTGACTTGATGACACCTAACAAAAACCACAACGTACTATGAGCCAGGCATGATAAAATATCTGGTCTCATTTAATCCCAACAACCCTATAAGATGGATACTATTATCCTCATTGAGAGAGAGGGACTGACCCTCAGACAAAAGGAGGTGCTTGCCCAAAGTCACAGTGGTAGTAAGTACTACAGGCCAAGTTCAAAGTCGGTGGTTGCTCTCAGAGTCTCAGTTTCTAGTAATCTCTCAGAATACCCCTCACTACTGCTCCTGGATTGTAACTGTCCATCTGGGTCTGGGTCTGCCTCCTCCACCAGACTCCACGGCCTTCCAGGGCAGCAAGCCTTAGGCTGCTGTAACCCTGGTGTCCAGTCTGTTAGAGCAAGAGGCCTGGCCCAGAACCCCACACTGTGGGGAGAGGATGAATGAGTGCATGAATGAATGAGTTAGCGGATGAGTGAGTGACCCGGGGAACTCACCCTCGATGAGCCACTCGCAGTCGCCATTGACGCTGTAGTTGCCTGCACCATCGGTCACGAAGCCTGGCGCCTCCCGCAGCACCTGCCTCTGCCCCTTGCAGTCCCCTGCCCTAGCTCCGGGGAACAGCGGGCCCAGCACGCCCAAGGCCAGTGTCAGCACTCTGGCCAGAAAAGGGCCCAGGGCCATGGCCGCCTCCTGCACCGAGCCTCAGAGACAGGACGGGCCCGAAAAACCCGGGGAGGACCCCCGACCTGGGGTGAGCCCCTGCAAATGCGACCTCTGTAGGAGAACGCCTTTGTAGACCGGGAAGGGCCAGGAGACGCAGTCCCGGCGAACGGAATGGGTGCTGTCTACAAGTTCTGGAAGCCGAGAGGCGCGCTCTATACACCCATGATAGACCCTGAAAATGGGACCGCTACAGACGCGGCTCGCCCCGAGGGGCTGTGAGACTCCCCTACAGAGAAGAGGCCCCATAGACGGCAGAGCCCCCATAAACGGTGTTCAGCAGCTAGAGACGCAGGCCCCTAAGGGCCAAAATGGCCCTTATACATAGGTGGCCCCCCTAGGGGCACAGGGCTTTCTAGCCCGGCGAGGGCCTCCATCAACCGGGCCGGGGAGGTGGTGCAGGCCCGAACCCACCAGGCCCCGGTGAGGCCCCTCCAGCTGGGGGCGGGGCGCGAGTGGGTGCCTGGAGCTGAGCCTGTCTTCAGGGTCTCGGGTCCCGGACCCCATAGACGCTCTCGTTTGCTCACCCACCCGCGCCTCCCTCCAGGAGCCGGATGGGCCAGATCAAAGAGATGAGGGGACGCTCGGGCCAGAGCGGCCGGGAGAAGACCCGCTGGGATGCCGAGGGGGCGGGGACCGAGCGGCCGCGGTGGGAGGACCGATGGAGAGGAGGCGAGAAGTCGTGGGGCGGCAGGTCAGAGCGGCCCTGGGAGGACTGCAGAGCGCCCAACCCCACCCCTCTGCAAAGGGAGATTTCCGGCAACTTCCCCGCCCATTTGTTTCCAGCCGCATGCGCAACAGTGACCTCCTTGGCCTGAGAATCGGAGTCATACATGCGCAGTAACCTAAACTCTAAGCGCTTGTGGCTAAGCGAAGTATGTGCCCCTGAAGGGCGCCTCTACCTCCAACTGGGGAAAGGGCAAGTAAAATAGGTGCAATAGAGGGCTTTGTAGGGAGCTCTGATAACGTAGTGCCTAAGGCACTTGACTGCAAACCAGAAGGCTGGCGGTTCAAACCCACCAGCCACTCCTCGGAAGGCAGGTTGGGCAATCTATTTCCGTAGTGATTCCGCCTCGGAAACCCAAGGAGGGGTCGCTGAGTGTACGGCACATAACAACAACAGAGGGCTTTGTAAGGAGTTCTGGTAGCGTAGTGCCTAAGTCATTTGACTACTAACCAGAAGGCTGGCGGTTCAAGCCCACCAGTCACTCCTGGGAAGGAGGGCTGGGCGATCTACTTCTGTAGTGATACCCCCTCGAAAACCCAAGGAGAGTTCTCTATGAGACGGATCCGGCTCGACGGCAGTGCGTTTGGTTTTGGTTTTTAGAGGGCTCTGTAGGATGGTCTATATCTTCATTGTTCTCAGATTCTAGGTCAAGATAAAAGTTGGTTATCCACTGCTGTATGAAAAGTGAATTTACTCTGTAAATCTTCACCCAAATCCTAATAAAAAAAAAAAGTATTAAAAAAAGTTGGTTATCCACCCACACCTGTGGCTTCCCGCCGAACAACACATATATATGAGTTGAACATTATACCTGAGAAGTAGATACACTCCTTGGAGAGAACAATCATGGGAGAAAGAAGAGCTGTTTATGCACAGGGTGACAGCTCAGGGGGCAGGAGTGCATCAGAGGGAAGGAGCCAGGGAAGAGGTAACTACTATGGGGAGGAAGTGGGAGGGGCGCTGTTGCAATGTGGTAAAATGAGACAAAGTGTATGTGAACTGCTGTATGGAAAGTGAATTTGCTCTGTAAATGTTCACCCAAATCACAATTAATAATAATAATAAAAGTCGGTTATCCAGGCCTTTGCCTCGGTCTCAGGAGCACTGGTGGCGCAGTGGTTAAACGCTCAGCTGCTAGCCAAAAGTCAACGGTTGGAACCTACCAGCCACTCTACAGGAGGAACATGAGTCTACGTAAAGATTACGCCTTGGAAACCCTCTGCGGCAGTTCTACTCTGTCCTCTAGGGGCGCTGTCAGAATGGACTCGAGGGCAATGAGCTTGGTTTGGATTTGCCTGCAGTTCTTGCTCAGTTCCAGCTCTGAGCACCGTGAAGATGTCAAAGAGGCCACCTTATGGATAGAAACTGAACGAATCCTCTTTATTTTGGCAAGGGGGGAGAAAAAAAAAAAAAGTCTTTCTGCCTGGGAACTGAGGGAAGGCCCCTCGGGATAGAGCGAAGGTGGGCCAACAGAGAACGGGTCCGAGGTCACATAGATCCGAAGGAGGGCTGTCAGAGCAGAGACCAACTTCACAGTATCCGTCCCGGGAGAACGGTTCTGGGTCTCGGAGTCCCAGAGCGTCACGAGCAGGGTCCTGGTGATCGTCGCGAGGGTCCCAGGGTCCAGTGGGGTCAGAGGTCTCGGAGGGGGGCGGCGGGCCGAAGGTCGCGGAACAGCAGGAGCCCAGAATCCGGCGCCACTCGAGGCGGGGGCTGAGGGAGGGGACGGGGACAGTGGCTCCCGCGGGACCGTTTGGCACAAAAATGGGGGAGAGCAGACAGGACGCTGCGCACTCACACCTGGGCGCGCGGGGGTGGGGAGGGTCGGGAAGGCCCGTGACGGCCGAGCCTGGGACTGGGATGGGGCCCACGGGGCAGGGGGGGACAAGGGTGGTCAGACCGGGGGAGCAGTGCCCCCGGCCGTGTGCATGCTGAAGTATTCAGTGAAGCCGGCGTGTGGCGCCACCGTCTGGGGCACGAGCGGCTGGTAGGGCGCCGTTGGGCCGTCCCAGCCCCGGTCGGCTGATTTAGGGAGCCGGGCAGGAGAGGGCGGGGAGACCGCGCCCGGCTCGGCCATGGTCACCACGCGGCCCCTCGGGGCCACCGCCGCCGCCACCGCCGTCTCCTCCACCTGCTTCCCGGCCTGGGAGGGGGGTCAGGGTAAGAGGCCGCCCGGGACCCCCGGGGGGGGCAGATGCGGCCCCGAAGGCCCGTCCCCCTACCCCAAAGAACTCCTCCACCCTCGGTGCGGACGCACGTGTCAGTCGGGGAACGAGTGGGTGGCGGGGCGCCTAGGCAGCGGGGCCAGGTACTCAAGGGGTGGTGTCGGGGCGCGACCGGCGAACTCGGGCGGCGGGCGGGGAGAGCCGCGGAAGGCGGGCGGCGGGGGCACCGCGCGTGGCGTCGGCGGGGGCGTGCGCA